TATATATAATATAGAAGAACATTTAAAAATTTTAAAATCTTTGAAAATAAATTTCAGTGTACTGTTTTTCATAAAAAAATGTAAATTTTAAATTTAACTTCAAATATTCTGCTCTTCCTTTTTTTAATCACAAATTCTCAAATTCATCAAATTAAACTAAAAATAAATGTGTCCAAATAAATTGCCAAACCCAACTCTCTTCGTCTTTCTAAAAAGGAGCTGAATAAGTTAACGCATTAAGTACAAAAAAAGAGAGAGTTTCATTATTTTTGCTTATCAAACAAAAAACAAAATATTTCCAAGTACTCCCAAGAACTTATTATCCCTGGTTGGGAATCACTGTCATAACGGATCCTTGATCAAGCTCCCTAGGCTTGTTCACAAAGCTGCTATTTGTGGTTTTGAGCTAAAATAGCAATGCTACAAAACAAGTAGGTTAATTCATCAGAGTCAAATATCTGTGAGCGAAGGTACCTTCAGCATTGTTGTTTTCTCCTCAGCAGGCTTACAGTGAAGTCTCAAAACCAAAAGATGAAATGAAGATCTCACTAGTCAAAGTGAAACATAACACAGAAAACCTGTGAAACTTGTTTATCTCCAGCCCTTCGCACCCTGATACAACAGGTGTTTAAAGTGGTGAGGGTGGAATCAAAAATCCTCCTCCCTCTGTTTGCAATCATCCTCCATCTCTATAATGTTGAAATGAGAAACACAGCTTGCTAAAATAAATCAATGGCTACATGCCAACATTACATACATTGCGTTTGATGTGAGCTGTCTTTGATTATGAAAATGAAGGTGACACACCTTGAAGGCTTATAATACTTTAAAAAAAAAACTAAGATTTCAGTTATATTATAAGTGTGTTTATGAAAACCCTCCCATGCTCATAAATACCAGCCTCGCCCTCTTTCATTCACATGCACTGTAATCATTACATTCCTTCTGATTCAAGGTCTAATCTGAGAAAATGTAGCCATTATAAACATTAACGTTGCATTGTTTCCTTGTAAACCTTATGCATGTTTTTGCTTATCAGAAAATTATGTATGTACATGAAATGCTCCCATACAATGCAAGGAAAAAAGTTATAAAATAAAATTTTCTTGACGACAGAATGATAATCTAATAATCTGCATATGGAATCAGCACATCTATATTCACATCAGATCCAGAGCAGGCGGGTTTTGGGGGTAGAAACTCATAGAATCATATTTGGATTACGAGATAAGGCCCTATCATTCAACTCCACAAGAATGCTCTTTATCAAAATCTTTAGTAACACATTAATTTATTGGCTGTTGATGCTTTCTTTAGTATGGTTTGTTTGTAAAGTTGACATTCATTCATGCCCCTATAAAGGGAAGATTCTAGGATCCTACAGTGTTATACTGAAACGATTTATTGATATCATAGACAGGCAGTGCTTATGGCACCCGATGACACTTGTTATGACCCCGTCTTTTCCTTCTTTACCTGATGGTGGCAGGATAACATCAAAATGTGACGTCACTGTTAATTGGATAATTCATGGGTGGAGAGTATAAATGTTTGGCTGAACGGTCCAACAGGACTTCCTCTGGGAGAACCCAGTTCTTCCGAGGAGTCACTTGCTCCCAACTTGTTCTCTTGTTGGTTACTATTTATCAACATTTCTTGCCCATTGGACTGATATTCTTTTCTTTATTGAAATCCCTAGACACTGTGTTTGTAACAGATCCTTTTCTACCGAATAAATAATCTTGCAAGTCAAACAACTCGTTTTGTATGTGTGGACCTCTTTATGTGATGGTCGGGAACGAGCTGGCCATGACATAAATTGGGGGCTCGTCCGGGATCCTTTGGAGTAGGAAATGTTGGTGAGTAGCTATGTGATTATTTTTGTGAATGGTCACCTTTTTGAATGAGAACTCCGGTTAGGAAGAGTGTGTCCAGCTGGGTTGTGTATACAATCCTTCCGACGGAACACTGGTTGTTGTTTTGTTTATTATTTTGTCTTTTTTTGTTTGTGAGGGTTATTCTGGGTGGAGATTTAATTCTCTGTCGGGGGTACGCTTTCGGACTTTCAGTTTGACTGATCGTCACTGAGTTTAGCGTTTAATGTCGCCCCGAGTCCGGTACATCCTCGAAGACTAGATAGGAATTAGTTAGTGTTTTCTTTCAGATAGGAGCTGGAGTGTCTCAGTTCACGGAGGTGAACCTATTCAGCAAAATTTGTAAATAGATACGTTTGTGTTTTTTTTTTAGTGCGTTCTTTTCTTTCCCGCGAACCTACAATGTTTTGACTTGTGGTAAGTCTTTGAAGTTTTGTGAATGAGTAGGTTACGTAACAGACTGACGTAGTTCCTTTTTGAAGCAGTGACTTATGGGAAGTGTAGTTCTAGTAAACTCATCTCGCTTGCGTGAGTTGTTTGTTTGTTGTCGCATAGGTGTGTGTTAGAACGAAGATGTCTTCGCAGGGTTTAAATTTTATGTCGACACAGTTTTCAAAAGCCTTGCGTCAACTTGGAGTCACCCACAATGTTTCTAGTGCTTACCATCCACAGAGTCAGGGGGCTCTTGAAAGGTTTCATCAAACCTTGAAGTCTATCTTAAGGTCATACTGTGTGGAACTTGATGCGGATTGGGAAGAGGGTCTACCATGGATGTTACTGGCTATACGTGAAGTAACCCAAGAAAGTATAGTCCAAATAAAGTATACAAGGCTTTAGTCCAAATGACTTAGTGTTTTGTCATTCAGTACGAGGACCTACTGCTGTTTAGCTGGTGAATGGCGTACTACTAAACCTCCAGAAAGTATTGCGGACTATGTTGGTGGGTTTCGCCGCAGGCTTTATGAGGCACGGGCTATAGCTAAAAAGAAGTTGGGTAAGTCGCAAACAAAAATGCAACGGCTTTTTGATAGGAAGGCTAAGTTTAGGAGTTTTCAGGTGGGTGATCAGGTATTGGCTTTATTACCTCTTCCTACTAACCCGTTTGAAGCCAAATTTACTGGGCCTTATAGTATAGCTAAGCGTCTTTCAGATAATAATTATCTGTTGAATACTCCTTATCGTCGGAGGAAAGTTCAGGTTTGTCACATTAATTTGTTAAAATTCTATGTTGCTCCGGGAAGTTCTGCTTCTGTTGGTGTCGTGACACCATGTGATCCTTCTAATCTAGAACAACAGTCAGTGGTTCCTTTTCCTCCTTTTTGCAGTATAAGTGGTGATGCTTCCAGGAATTTTGACGAGGATGGGAATCTTCTTTCTCAGGAAAAAGTAGATGGACGACTTAACAACTCTAAAATTCTTGCCGATTTGCCCTGTCATTTGTCTTATTTGGACGAGAAAGAAAGAAATGACATTATTGCGTTAGTAATGTCCTTTCCTTCACTCTTCCTTGATGTTCCTGGTCGTACCTCTGTCATTGAATATGACATTGATGTAGGAACTTCCTCTCCCATTAAGCACAGCGCTTATAGGGTCAATCCAGTAAAATTATTACAGCGAGAGGTGAACTATTTACTTAGTCACAGATTGGCTGAATCTAGTTTTAGTTCATGGAGCTCCCCCTGTGTTTTAGTGAACAAATCAGATGGATCATATCGATTTTGCACCGATTATCGAAAACTTAATTCTTTAACCAAACCCGACTGTTTCCCTTTACCTCGTATTGACGACTGTGTCGATCATGTTGGCTCTGCCCAATATGTGAGTAAGTTTGACCTTCTGAAGGGGTATTGGCAGGTGCCTTTAACTGCCCGAGCAAAAGAGTTATCTGCATTCGTTACCCCTGATGCCTTCCTGCAGTATACGGTAATGCCTTTTGGGGTCCGAAATGCCCCTGCTACTTTCCAACGTTTGGTGAATCGTATATTGTATGGAATGTCCGGATGTGAGGCATATCTTGATGACGTCGTCTTGTACAGTTCTTCCTGGTCTGAACATCTTAACCAAATAAAAGACTTATTTTTTCGTCTAGCGGAGGCTAATTTGACCATCAACCTTGCTAAGTCTGAGTTTGGAAAAGCGACTGTTACATACTTGGGTAAAATCGTTGGAAACGGTCATGTATACCCCATTGGTGCTAAAGTAGAAGCCATATGTAGTTTTCCTATTCCTACCAACCGACGTGAGTTACGTAGATTTCTCGGAATGGTAGGTTATTATCGGAGTTTTTGCCAGAATTTTGCCAGCGTGGTTTCTCCTTTGACTGATTTATTGAGCCCGAAGGTTGTTTTTCAGTGGTCTGAGACATGTCAGCAAGCTTTCGAAAATTGTAAAGCTTTATTGGCAAATGCCCCTATTTTGAACGCTCCAAATTTCGAGAAGTCTTTTAGCCTTGAAATTGATGCTAGCGCTTGTGAAAAGCGACTGTTACATACTTGGGTAAAATCGTTGGAAACGGTCACGTATACCCCATTGGTGCTAAAGTAAAAGCCATATGTAGTTTTCCTATTCCTACCAACCGACGTGAGTTACGTAGATTTCTCGGAATGGTAGGTTATTATCGGAGTTTTTGCCAGAATTTTGCCAGCGTGGTTTCTCCTTTGACTGATTTATTGAGCCCGAAGGTTGTTTTTCAGTGGTCTGAGACATGTCAGCAAGTTTTCGAAAATTGTAAAGCTTTATTGGCAAATGCCCCTATTTTGAACGCTCCAAATTTCGAGAAGTCTTTTAGTCTTGAAATTGATGCTAGCGCTTGCGGAGCAGGCGCTGTTCTCGTGCAAGAAGATTCAAACGGAGTTGAACATCCTGTTAGTTATTTTTCAAAGAAGTTCAACCGTCATCAGCAGGTTTACTCCACTATTGAAAAGGAAGCCCTTGCCCTTGTACTAGCGGTACAACATTTTGAGGTATATTTTGATGGTGGCAGGATAACATCAAAATGTGACGTCACTGTTAATTGGAAAACTCATGGGTGGAGAGTATAAATGTTTGGCTGAACCATCCAACAGGACTTCCTCTGGGAGAACCCAGTTCTTCCGAGGAGTCACTTGCTCCCAACTTGCTTTCTTGTTGGTTACTATTTATCAACATTTCTTGCCCATTGGACTGATATTCTTTTCTTTATTGAAATCCCTAGACACTGTGTTTGTAACAGATCCTTTTCTGCCGAATAAATAATCTTGCAAGTCAAACAACTCGTTTTGTATGTGTGGACCTCTTTATGTGACGGTCGGGAACGAGCTGGCCGTGACACACTCTATAGGAAAACAACTGGGAATCATAGAAAAAAATAAAATAAAATAAAAACGCTCTCTCCAACTAAATGAATCATGGCCAGAAGAAACTGCCATGTATTTGGAATACAAATTTTGTGTTTAATTAGCCAATCAGAAATCATTGTACACTAGTGATGTCTGCAAATAAAATAACATTAATCTTTTAATAAATCTGTATTTGTTTTGGTTGCCATAGTGGTGGTCTTAAACTACTAAAAATGTTTTTGTTGTTGAAAATAGCTGCCTTATTTTTTTTTAATAATAAAAAAGTAGTGCCAACATTAAAACCAACAAGGTTACGACAACCAAGTAAGTTTATTGCACTTTTTTTAAAAACTTTAATTACTGTTTAAGAAAAGTGAGTTGAAATGACAAAAAATTATTGTAGAAAAGTATATTAAAGTAGAAAACAGCTATTTTTAATTATATTCGAAAATATAAAATAAACGCAGTTTGGTGAGCATAAGTGAGGTTTTGTTTAATCTCCAAACTTTTGAACAGTAGTGCACACATTTAACATCCGTTTAACTACAAATATAAAATCTCTAGTTAAATAACAAATGTTGTGAAAAAAATTTCACCAAAAATCTGTGATTTATATCATTTATTCATTCATATTTATCCAATTTAGAATATACGTATACTGAAATAACACCAATGAGATCAGAGAGCTATGACAGAGGAGACGGATTTTGGTGAATACTTTTATGAACTTGAATGTTGGGCTGTCCTTCAGACAAAGCTATCTTATGACTTCAAAACACGTGGAAATGGCAAGTATGGCATCATTTGGACTACTGTTATGGACTTTTGTATTATGCTGTATGTCATTTAGTGAGCTTGACAGTTCCTGGTCTTTTGTTTTTAAGAGTAGATTGTATTAACACTGATCTACAGAAAAAAAGGAAATCGCACAGTTTTGGAACAATATGAGGGTGATGAACGATGACATTTTTGGGTGAAGTAAAATATAGACAAAAATCACTCTCCAGTTGCTCCTGCTGTCAGCTTTAACTTCTCAACATCAAATCAGAATTTTGACACCTTTGTGAGAGGAATTCTCTCCAGGTTTCTCTTCAGTGCTTTGTTCAGCGTGTTTAAAATGACATCTGTGTTGTTCAGAATGTTGTAGGTGGTGAGGTTGGTCAGCTTCTGGAAATCCTCAGGTTGGTATGTAAGGTTGTGAGTGGCGAATGGACAGAACATACTAGTGAAGTCAATATCAAAATCTCCTTCCTCCAGCTCCGCCTTACCCTCTCTCTTCACTCCTGCCACACAAACACACACAATTAGTTAATATAAATACACCTTGTAATCTACTGTATATCTTCATGCAAAAGGAGAATGTCTAAGATTCTTAAAGCAATAGTTCAACCAAAAATGAAAATTATTTGCCAACATTTATGCACTCTTATGACATTCAAAACCTGTATGACTATTTCTTCTGCAGGTCACAGAAGATGAAAATGCCTCAATGAAAGTCAATAGGGTCCACTGTTTTGGATCCCATTGACTATCACTGCAAAAATTTCTCAAATGTACTTTTTGGTGAGTAAATGATGCTAGAATTTTAATTTTGGGGTGAACTATCCCTTTAGTAACACCAACTTACAGGTTACAGATGGCGGTACTCACCAGGAGACTTGAACTGCTTGAATGAGACATTGACCAAGGGAAAGTGGATCACTATGGGAACATCTGGATTCTCTTTATCCTCAAACACATAAACTTCCCTAATCGGCTCGGACTCCAACTTCTTATAATCGATCTTTGGAAACGGAATCTTGCGTTCAGCGCAGTACTCCTGAGTTTGCTTAATAACCTATTGGACACAAACAGAAACAACAGAATCACATTTAATCCTATTCTCCTCGTAATCTGACATTATCTTTGTGGTCTTCCTCACCTTGAAGTGGTCCGGGTCCCAAGCGTAGTTCAGGGACAGAATGACGTCCGCACGTCTGTTACAGCATAACACAGGAGGGAATCCTGACTTGATGACAAAAGCAGTATCCACCAGGCCAAGTGTGGCGTCTGCTGGTGTCAGGGAGTTTGGGAAGGCATCTGGATGCGTGTCTGCAGAAAGTCTACTTTATAATTAATCCTTTCCCAGGTTGATGAAACTGATTCGAGAGAGGAATTGTACTAATTAGGCTAAACTTGACAGCATAAATGATGTTCTGACCTTTCCATGTGGTGAAGTCACAGTTCTCACTGTAGTTCCTGTGCAGGTGGAAGCCTCTAAGGAAGTTGAACACTTGGCTGATAATGGGGCGGCAGGTCAGAAAGTTGCTCAGCTTTTTTGCCAAATCAGACATAGGGCTGACCTGAAGTGTGTCTGACGTTGATGGTTTGTCATCTGTGTCTACAGATAAAGGATAACTTGTTTTCATTGTTGGCAAATAGATTAAACAAATTTGAACATATAACAGAATATTTTCCATCACAAAATTGTAATCATAGCTGGTAAAGCTGTGATTACACAGTATTCACTCAGTCGGAGTAGTTTTCACTTTTTGAAAAACTGAGAAAAATGTTTAACTTGCTTTTATTCTGATTAGTATCTTAGAGTAGTAATATGTACCCTTAAGGTACTAATGTTTTTAGACACTCGATTGCATGTTTTATCATTTTATTTCTACTGTTGTCTTTGAAATATGGATAAGTGTACTCCCAAATGTACTGACAAGCATTTATGACAAATTAAAATATACTTTAATGTAATTTCTACTGACACTTGTCATGTATTTAAATATATATATTTACACAATGATCATGTTCAAATTTAGTACATTTAAATTATATTAATTGTAATATCAAATAACACCACATTTAAAATAATCAAGTATTTTACATGTACTTGTTAGTCAACACATCAAAACAGTTGTACTTATTTAAAGCATGACAAAAGAATATTAAAAAAATAATGATTTAAAATGTAAAGTAAAACATTTAATTTGAGATCATTACAAAAATCAGTGTACTTAAGTGTGTTATGAAAGTGTACTCTCTTTAAGGATACTCCCGCTGAGTACAACGATAGAGCTTGAAAGATCAAAGACAATTTTTAATATAACTCCGACTGGATTCGTCTGAAAGAAGAAAGTCATATACACCTAGGATGACTTCAGGGTGAGTAATTTATGGGCTAATTTAAATGTTTGGGTGAACTAACCCTTTAAGTGCTCTTTTATGTAATTAATCTTATGTTATCTGCAAGTATAGTTGTTTTGTATTGTATTGATTTGCACTATTAAATAGTGCACATTCAATACAATTTAGCATACTTCTATACTTTACAAAAGGTACTTGCGATAAAGCTGAAAGGCACCAAAATATATGAGAAGCTGCACAAAGTATTTGCTCAGGTAGTCTTACTCATTGTCCCGGCCTTTCTCTTACCCGTCTGGTTCACTTCTTCCCCAATCTTGCTGGCCCAGGATGGGATCACTCCAGTGACAACACTCCAAAGCTGAGTCAGACTCAGGGAGAAAACACTGCTCCATATTCCTGCAAACACAACACATTTTGACTAATATGAATACAACTGCCAGTCATTATATTTAACTTAAAATTAATTCATCAACCTTTGGAGTATTTAAATATATTTACCCAATAGAGTGTAAATTCCAGATTCTGGGAGTTTCTTGACAATGTGGCCGAGGTAATATTCACTCCCAAATGTCTGTGCAGGTATGAAGACACCATACTTGGTAAATCCCACCTCATATGGGGTGAACTCGCACCATTCTGAATGAGAAAAGAACAAAGAGAAACATATCTACAGTAAGCACTTTTAGTTGCTCTCAATACAGAGAGCTACAATTGATCCGTTGAGGAACAAACATAATTAACTTATTAACCATAATGGACCTTTATCTTGTAAGACAGGAAGTAGCAGGCAAATTAAACCAGCCTAAGTAAATTCAAATCAATTCTTACCAGTCTCTATGGTACATCCTGTCTTGCCATTCTTCATGTTGAGAGCTGTGTAGATGGGAAGAGGGTTCTGGCCCTTTGATAGTGCCATCTGCTGGTCAGATAGTGTTCCCATTTGTTTCTGAGTAAAAAAAAGAATTTATAAAGTTTCTGATTGAGAAACTTATCTGCATTTATTTATGTTTAAAATGTATTTTGTCTCTGGGCTGTCAAGGGTATTCCGTACCTTCCCTTGGATGAGGTATTCTATAGCCAGACCCCACATATCGACAAGAGATACTAGGTGTCCTTCTTTCTCTCTCTCTTCCATCTTCTCTTTGTAGTGCCGCAGCTGCTCAAGGGAAAATATACTGAACACACTTTTAGAGATCTCCTTCTTTACAGACTCCATAACCCCATTTAGGTCATTGTTTGACCAGTTAGCATCACCATAAAGAGAAGCCATAGTCCTATGTGACAATGAAAGAAAGTTTGATGTTTAATGACATATCTGATGTAAAATCTGGGTTTTGAAGCAAAGCCTGATGAAGCACTGATTTGGAAATGGACAGGTCTGTAGTGCTCCTTATACTCACCAGGTGGAGCCAGAAATCCCTGTGATGTAGCTGACTGTATCAAGAAGCTGGAGTTTCTGCAGAGCTCTTAGGCCTCCAAATGTGCCACACATCGCTCTGGTCCCACCGCCAGAACACACCACAGCCACCAATGGGACCTGAGAAGTCACATCAATCTTATAAGTATATATTTTTCATCAATTAATCAAACAAGCGTCAGAACAAGACATGCCATATCCACCTTATTTTTATCGTAAGACCTGAGGGCAATTTGAAAGTTAAATTTGCAAAGCTTAGTGTTATCTGCTTCCAGTTATTTTTAGCTGTACAGCCTGTTACAATGGTTGATATTGCAAACTGGTATTTCTTATCCTTATTTTAATGTATTGTTGCAATCATAAACACTGGTTTGCATTGCGATAGTTTTGCCATTTATTTTGTTATTCTTCTACATAATGTATTGGAATTCTCACACATTTACAGAAAATAGCATATTTCTGTGTTGCATAAATGAAATTATTAAAATATAAATAAATACATTAAATTAACATTTTTATATCAATTAAATTAAAATTGATGGGAACAATAGTAAAACTGCATGTCAGGTGACACTGCCAGGAAGTGTGTCTGTTGAATGTGCAAATACTCAAGTTTGTGTTTGTTTTCTTGCCTTGCTGGGTTCAGGTGCAGAGCTGAGATTCAAAGCTTTCTGAAGAGCTTGTGACACGACGTTTTGTCTCTTCACCAGAAAATTATTTTCTTCCATTGGAATATCAAAATCCAGACGCACAGCCAACTTTTCGTCAGAGCTTCAAAACACACACACACACACGATTATTTTGAGAGATGAATGGAATCTGACTGGTTTACAGTGCTTGGTCTCATTTAACTACGATCAATTACACAATTAAAATAATTCAGGTTTGGCTGATGGATTACATGCCAAAGTAGTTTCTTTAAACTGTTCCTGAACTAATTAGAGATAAGCCATTCAAATTGTTTACCGGCCCTCTGTGCTTAGTTGCAGATCCACTTCACCCTAAAAGAGTGCATTATTCCAGTTAGTTGATGGATTTTATTTTTATTTTGGAAGAAATATATGTATACCATTCAAATTTGATTTTTATCAGTACCCACCTGTCCAACAGGCATGCAGAGTTTAATCTGTGGTTTGGCTGGTAATGGTTTCATAGGGACTGATGACAGAATGTCTGCAGTCTTTGGATTTATCCCGTCCACTTCTGCCCCAGCCTGGACAAGCAACAAACATGCAAACAAATAAACAAGCATCACACACTCTCAGCTGACAGTGATATGCATGCTTGATAAATTGATTAGGTAAGAAATCAGTTTAATCAATGACACACTTTTGGTGGGATGAGACTAAACTCAGTCTCCAGGTCTCGGTTTATGTAGTAGCGAATAGTCTGTGAGCAGCTGGGGTTTTCCTCAGAGCCTGGGATCAAACAGTCTTCCTTATATGCGCCTTGCAGTTTTAACATCATGTCCTTCTCGGCTGAGGTAAACACAGAAACATATCACATTTTTGCACCGTTCTTAATGCAGCACCTTTAAAATTGAACAAAGTCATGTATATAAAATCTAAAACTTTTATTTTTGTTTCAGTATATTTACTGTTAATTATGCTTATGGAATAGAATTATCACTTATATAATTTTACAAATACAATTTTCTCAAGCTTTCAGTGGTTATTTTGAAGCCTCATATAAATTTAAATATCTGATTGAGGTTAGTTAAAAGTTGACATGTACGGATAGAATAATAATAATCCAGTGTTCTTCTATTTAAAAAATTTAAAAATGTTTAAATTAAAAAATTACCATTAGTCTTTAGACATTTTTCCACCTTCACATCCAGTGCACAGAATGGACCTGCCTAAAAATTAGGAGAAAAACTCAGAGTACTACTTAGTTCAACAAATGTTTCCAAAAAGCACAGTTAGTTTTGTTTTATGGAAACCTGAACTTGTTCCTTGTCGGCTTAAGATTTTTACAGTCATAAAAATGTTGTGAGATTTATCAAATGAAAGAAGCATATAAAGGTTTTTACTGAATACATTATGTACATCTACGTGTAAGTGGGTTTAGCTGTATCTGAGGTTATACTAAATATAATATTACATGAATATCATGATCATTTATAACCTGTTCTTTTTAATGCATCAAAACTCTTACCATCAGAACTCCATTTGAGAAGTATGGTTCAGGCTTCTCAGAGCTTGAAAAAGAAAAGGAACAGATAAAATGACATTAGTTCAGACTAAAGTAATAGTGATGATTTTTTCATAAAGAGGAAGACGATCACTTATGTTCACTATGTGGTTAATAACGCCACCATTATTGTTTTCAATTGTTATCTCACTCACCTCACAGTCAACTCAAACTCCACCCACAGCTCACTCTTTTTCTGGAAAAATAGTATATAATAATCAAAAAGATGGTTGGGACTAAATCTACATTTGTAATGCTTGACTTTCATACACATGTAAAGTATTGTACACAAAACCCTTCCACTTCAAAGACTTTGTACAAATAAAATAAAATGATTGTTTGATCATCAAATGATATACCTTATCATCTGTAATGAAGCATTTTGTTTGCTTTTGTCCAGGTGTGAGGTTACTGATGTCGAATAGGATGGTGGAGCAGTAGTCATCTTTCGTTAACTTGTCAGCATCAAATATGTGGAATTCCAGAATGTTCTGAAGAGACAATAACATAGTGGTGAGTTTATTTTAGCTCAAATGCTTTCTCTTGCTCTACACTAGAGGACTCAAATATAAGGTCAAAATTCTGCTTTGCAAACCTATCATATCACGTCACAACCAAGCACTTTTACTCAAATTCATAAAGTATTAATTACTTTAGAAAAGCAAAACAACCAAATAAAATCATTATAAAATCCTGGCCTATAATATGGCAGCAGTTCTGATAATATGCAACAACAACCAAAAAACTGTTGAATTATTTCTTATTTCCCAGGGCAATGGAACAAATGTAGCCATTGGGGAATAATTATTATGATTAGTTAAGTTAAGTAATTATATAATAATTAATTATTCTTATTTGTATAGAATTACTTTGCTGTTATACTAGCATTTGACTGTTAGTGACGTAACCAGCATGTCATTCATCACTTATTCAAGAGCAAGGGTGGAGAACCACTTCATGCTGTCAGCTGAGATTGGAAGGGCAAGGCACAGTTGCAACGAAATGTTTTAGTTAAGAAAGCCCTCAGTAATAAATGCAAGCACATTATTTTCCATTAAAAGAGTTTTCTTGCAAGTGTCCAAAGCCGATTTGCTCACCTTGACACCGCTGTGCACTCTGAAACGAAAGGTTTCATTCCATTTTGGTGCATCACTGTTTTTCACAGTTTTGGTGCGATGGCAGCAGGCACAGGCCGTGGGTAACTTTAAGACGACGTAGCAGTCACATTTAGACACTGGAGAGAGAGCAAAATCAGAGCACACTAAGCACTTATGTGGAGTATGTAGTTTTCAGTATATCAAAAGCATTTTTATCAATATTTCACCCCAAGTCACAATGTTTTTGAGGGCTGATGGACTCACACTGACTACACAGAATATGAAATATATCAAAAACTTTAGGAGTCAGCTGTCCACGGTAGTCCTTAAGATTTCAGCACAATAACACACTCAGCAAAATATCGTCTAATTATCGTTATCGATAAAATCCCAGAAAATATCGAGATATAATTTTGTCAATATATTTTCACCCAAATCGCACAGCCCTACTACAGTGTTATAGTGAAACTGTTTATTGATGTCATAGACGTGCAGTGCATAGATATGGCACACACCCCAACGACACTTTATAGGGAAACAATAGGGAATCACAGCAAAAGCTTCAGTTTCTCTAAGTAAATGAGTCATACTGGCCAGAAGAACCTGCCACATAATTTATGTGGGGAACGGCACTCATATCACTACCTTATTGTTAAAATATTGTTGTCATGAGTGTTTCAGTCATGACAACTCTCAGAGGGATTGGCATGTAATGTACATGACAATGTTAATGTATTTGGTCTTGGCGGAATAGATCTGCTACGCTGCTGTTGCGACAGAGCAAGTACCGAGACTTGCTACTGCCAATACATCCACAACATGCTGCTGTAAGCATGTAAGAAATACTGCTGTTGTATATATAACACATGTGAATAACCCCCCACAAAGCAGGAGACACATTACACAAAATACAAGCCAATATATGCATGCCGCTGAATATAAGAATAAACTGCTGCATCAGTGGACATGCATGTATCCACAGACATGAAGATGAACAGACAAGGAAAGAGAAGACATCCCCCACAAAGCAGATCTATCGCCAAGACATTTGTACTGCTGCTGCTCCGAATAGCCATGTGAACCGCATGTATTACTATCTATGTGTGCCTGGGCTACCACGCCGACCGGCTTAACAATAGTGGCCTAGGACTATGTGAGCCTTGGCTACCATGCCGACCGGTATAACAATAGTGACCTACGACTATGTGAGCCTTAGCTACCACGCCGACCGGCTTAACAATAGTGGGCTATGACTATGTGAGCCTGGGCTACCACGCCGACTGGCTTAACTCTGGCTGTGTTTACACTTGGCATTAACATGCGACCTGTATTCGGATGTTGTCCATGTTGTCCACATAATAGACAAGTATTTGATTGGAGTGTTATCCGATGAGCGTGTCCTTGTCCAGAGGTAGTCGAGGATGCATTGTGATCGGATCTCAGTGTAATGTAAACGCAATCCAGCCATTGTGTCTGCATTCGCAGGTCGACATCACACAAAACGCCGCCCCCTCTCTCCCGATCTGTCCAAGTAGATATAACTGCAGACCGGAGATCTCCAAAATGGGGAGATACTTTCACCATTGGCTCTGGCTTCAGCCAATTGATATTGCTTGCATTTCAAAATAAAACTTCATAAATTAAACATCGTTTCTAGTTCATCTAAAATAAAATGCTATATAAATAAATATGCTCCGTGAGAGCAGAGCTCAAAGCTCGTGGCCAGTGGTGTTCGGACTGGAGTTTGAACATCTGCTTAATGATATAAACAGGAATCACCCACGAGCTCTCCCGCAAGCCATCCCAGCGCAGCGCAGGGGAAAGATTTTA